TTGTAATATTTCCAAATGATCTAGTTCGGAATGTGAATTGTGAGGAAAATGCAAAGAGGCTTCAGGTGGACTTGGACAGGCTGAATGAATGGGTAAGGACGTGGCAGATGAACTATAATTTGAATAAGTGCGCAGTTATCCCCTTTGATGGGAGGTCAGAAAGGCAGGATATTAAATGTTGGGAGGAAGGAAATTTATGCATGGAGCTAGATGAAGTGGGTGAGGTCCAGTGTTCATAAAGGAGAAGGACATGATGGATGCTGAGGCTAGGGAGGGGGATGTAAATATTGTAGGGCATGTTACTATAAAATAGGTGTTTGGTGTTTTAAAAAGCATTAAGGTAGACAAATCCCCAGGACCTGACGGGATCAATCCCAGAATGGTGATGGAGGAAATTGCTGGGGCCTTGTACAAAATCTTTGTATCCTCTTTAGTCACAGGAGAGGTCTCAGAGGACTGGAGAATAGCTAGTGTTGTTCCTTTGTTTAAGAAGGGCAACGGGGATAATCTGGAAAATTACAGGCCGGTGAGCCTTCTGTCGCTGACAGGAAAATTATTGGAGAAGATTCTTAGGGACGGGCCTTACTCACATTTGGAAAAATACGGATTTGTTAGTGATAGACAACATGGCTTTGTGCAGCGAGGTCATGCCTTTTGAGGAAGGGTCAAAGATGATTAAGGGCAGAACGGTAGATGTTGCCTACATGGACTTTAGCAAGGCCTTTGCCAAGGTCCCTCATGGCAGGCTAATACCAAAGGTGAAGCCTCATGGGATCTGCAATGAGCAGGTAAATGGATACAGAACTGGCTTGGTCACAGAAGACAGAGAGTAGTAGTGGAAGGGTGTTTTTCTGATTTGGAGATCTGTGACCAGTGGTCTCATTGGAAGTTTGTGGACAACACAGATTGGGTGAAGCTGTAGATAGTGATGAGAATTGCCAGAGGATACAGCAACATATAGATAGGCTGGAGACTTGGGTGTGAAATGGCAGATAGAATGACAAATGCAAGGTGATGCATTTTGAAGGTCTAATGCAGGAAAGAAGTATACATTAATGACAGAACCCTCAGAAGCATTAACATACAGAGGGGTCTAGGCATACAAGTCAACAGTTCTCTAAAAGCGGCAACACAAGTGAACAAGGTGGTGAAGAAAGCATATGACATACTTGCCTTGATCAGTTGTGCCATAGAGTATAAAAATTGTCAAGCTACGTACTGCTGTGTAACTTTAGTTGGCCATATTTGGAATATCACGTAGTCCTGGTTTGCCACACTACCAGAAGGATGTGGAGGTTTTAAAAGATGATGTTTTATCAGGATGTTGCCTAATTTGGAGGGTATTAGTAATGAGGAAAGATTAAAAAGTTTACAAAATTGAGGCATGGATAGAATAGAAGTTGGAATCTTTTTCCCAGAGTAGAAATGTCAATTAGTAGGAGGATACACGCTTAAGATAAAAAGGGGAAATTTGCAAGGAGATGTGAGAGACATAATTTTTTTTAAGAGTGGTAAGTGCCCAGAAGCGTCGCCAGAGGAGGTGGTAGAAGCAGATACAATAGCAAAATTTAGGAGGCATATTGACATATACATGAATAGGCATGGAACAGAGGAGCATGCACCATGTTTAGGCAAAAAGTTTTTAGTTTAGAAAGGAGTCATGTGCTGCGCAGGCTTGTGGGCCAAAGGGCCTGTTCCTGTGCTGTGCCACTTTGTTCTTTGTTTTGGTGTCCAATGGAACCTGGATATCCCTGTTAATGAGTCACTAAAAGCTGAAATGCAGGTGCAACAATCAACAAGGGAGGCAAATGACATGTTGACCTTCTTTGCAAGGGGTTTTGAATAGAGGTGTGATGATTTCTTGCTGCAATTGAATAGAACTTTGGTGAAACTGCAGCTAGATTATTGTGTGCAGTTTTGATCTCTACCTTAGGTGGGATATACTTGCCAAAGAGGAAGTGCAATGGAAATTCACCAGAATAATCCTTGGGATGGCTGGATTATCTTGTGGGGAGAAATTGAGAAAAGTAGATATGTATTCTATACAGCTTCAAAGAGTGAATGGTGGTCTCATTAAGCATACAAAGTTCTTAAGGCATGACAGGGTGGATGTAGATAGGAAGTTTCTCCTTGATGGGGAGTCTTGAACCAGGGACTTTACCTCAGAATTAGGGTTAGACCATTGAAGACCGAGAAGAGGAGAAATTCCTTCATTAAGCTGATGATGAATCTTTGGAATTCTCCACCCCTGAAGGCACTGGAAGGTCAATCATTGAGCATGTTCAAGACAGAAATGGATATATTTCTGGAGACTAATGATATCAAGGATATAGAGATAATGTGGGAAAATGTCATTGAAGTAAATGATCTGCCATGATCTAATTGAATAGAGGAGCAGGCTTGACAGGCTGAATGGACTATCCAAGTTCCTGTATTCTTTTTTAATTGTTTTAAGAGGAATAGTCAGCCAGCGTTTTCACATAATTAAAATTGTAAATTAATACTTTTCTAGAATCTGTTTTGAGATCAATACTTAAATTGGCAGAAGCAAAGCAAAATTATACAATTAAACAAAACACTGCTTCAGCAGTAAAATGCTGCACAGTTCAGTTTCTTAACTACGAATGAAGATGTTTGATACCTTGTCAGGAAGAGAACAGTGTTATTCTTTTATTTAATTAGGGACATTTTACGCTCCTGAATCAAAGTACATTGCTGTATGCTTGCTTGGCATGCAATGTTGTTGTTATAGTCTTAAGCCTATGTGAGGTGGAACATTCTGTACTTATTCAGGTTTGGACCTCTATCCACATTCCATGGTTAATGAGGTTTCATGTGGTGTCTAACCCATCCTGTGTTGTTTGAGTGGAACCTTTAGTGCCTTCCAAATGCATACAAAAAAATTGGCAATGCCATTATCTAACCTCAAGTTCTCCTGTTATAAATCTGCTTATAGATTGTCCACAGTGCCAAATGTATGTGGAATTCTCTCCAGCTGTATGTCAGAGTTCAGTTTTATTTGTTCCTGTCATATACCTTACAGCATCGGAATACCCTGACATAATTTTTTTTAAAGGAATATGTGATAGAAAGGATCTACTCTGACAAGACCACAGGATGTTTGAAAGTGCCATGATAAGACCACAGGATTTAGGAGCAGAAGTAGGCTATTCAGCCCATTGAGTCTGTTCTGCTATTTAATTAGATCATGGCTGATCTGATAATTCTCAAGAGATAGTAGGAACTGCAGATGCTGGAGAATCCGAGACAACAAGGT